TCACAATTGCGTAGACAATTCCCAAACATCCATTTCACTTTACAAAAAATCAATTAGACTAGAGTAGCTCTTCAAAGATCTTCACCGGATGTATTTGAGCCTCTGCCCTTGCTCGTGCAGATAAAAATACGTTGCTTTGATAAAAAAACGATGATAATCATTATTCTAATTTCTTTCCTCAAGCTTGAGGAGTTAGAGTTGGGTTCAAGATGGTCTACCATTCTAGATGAATCTCTAGTGCCCAGCCCGGTGCTCTCCAGACCTGCTATCACTAGGCTGGTTATAAATTCTGAGCATTGTAGTTCCAAATTATCCAGTTGAGAAGGACACCCTGTTGGAGAAGATGCCCTGGGAAGCTCAGGGCAGACTGAGGAGCATTTGAGAAATATTTAACCATTTACTCAATGCTGCTGTAATTTCTCTCTATGTATACATTTTTCAAGGGGTGGGTGTCCGTTGCAATGAAGAATATGTATGAAGCAAAGACAATGGATCAGGGCTTTTTTTTGTCAATAAGCATCAGCCAGCATTAAGGAAGGAGGTGCTGCTTTGAAGAAGACAGAGGTTGGCAGAATAATCCTTTCAGCCAGTGTATTCTTGGAGACCTTGTCACCTAGTTCAGACATTCAGGTGAGACTCTTTCAAACCTGAATAATTTTGAGCGGTTGCCTTCTCTCTTCTGGCTGCCAAAGAAAAACAGAATTGTTATGGGAGTACATCTTCGCAAATCAAATCCTTCACTTAGCACCTGAATTTTAATGGTGGCGCATCTTATAGAGAAATCAAGTGATGGACAAGCATGTGTGAACCAGCTGAGAACAATGAGCAGTTAGATAGCACATGTGTGAACTAGCCTATTGATAAAGTGTCTTCCCTATCTTCCTTGACTAGCTGTATCCGGCTGTTCTATTCCTAAAATAGAGACATGTATGTCTATGCCAATGTATAGAAATACACTTCCATATGCATTATTGCTAATGCATATCACACGTGGTAGATTGAAAGCTTTGAATAGTTGAAGAGATAGGAAAGCTTTTGTATAAGGTCTGTAATTAAGTTTCTCTGTAGCTGCAATATTTTAAAGGATAAAATAATCGTAAATGATAAATCCTCTGGGTTTTTCTAAACAACAATTTTGCTTGCTGGATGTCTTCCTTCCTTTTGAAAAAAATCAAAATAAAATAAAATGGGATTTTGAAGATTGGTGTAATGATGTAGATAAATGCTGTAGACCATTTGAGGATGCAAGTAAGCAAATGGAAATGAAGCCATACCTGTTTCTGAATATTTATCTCCATAAAAGTTTTGAAACATGCATATGAGTATATATGTATGCTCATGATGTTAGTGTGCAAGCACTTTCTTCAAAAAAGAAAGAGCTAATAACAATTATTTCTCACTGTGTATATGTATGCATGCAAGGAGACTGAAGTTCCTTGGCATCCTCAACCATTTATTACTACTACCTATTTATTTTATCAATATGTGCTTGCCCAAGAGACATCCAAGATGATTGTTGAATTGATCTGTTCAAAAATGTGGATGCTTATAGGGCTGAAATTGTTTGTAGTTGAATTTGCAACTGGAGAAGTTATGCTAAATGTATGTGCATTTGTATGTACACTTTTCTTCCAAGGTATTCAGGCTTCTAGAAAAGTTCCCAAACCCCCCACATACACTAACAAAACATGGTAGATGTGTAGACAACTCAAGGTGGGAGAAAAGGAAGATCAAGAAGATTGACAATTTAGAACCACAACTTCTGATCTCAGGCTCTTGTTTTAAATCAGGTGAAAAAAACACTTGCATGGTTGTAGCATACAAATTACATTCTCCAAGAAAGTTGCAACCCTCTTGCCTAGATGGCAGAGAAAAACCTGTGCCCTGGTTAAGCAGAGGGGGAACATGTGCAGCTGATTTTCAGTCCGTTATATAGAAAAGAACAAAGGTCGGAGCTGATTTAGGTTTTAATCAGCCTAAAAGCAATTCAGATAGATAGAGTAACAGTGTACAGTGATTTTCCCTGGCATCCCCGCCCTGGAATGCTCAGCCACCAATAGAAAGGAAAGAAAGGCTGACCTGTGAGGGCAAACCAGTGCTTCTCTTGCTTCAGTGGTGCAATGTAAGATGGGGCAGGAAGGACTGCAAAAAATGTGCAAGTGCAGGGAGGGAGGGTGGGTGGGGGATGCAGGAGAAAGGCAATGGAAATGGAGGGTTTTCTGGAACTTGAGCAAATGTGACGGTATGTGCACCTGGAAAGGGAATGTGTGTGTGTGTGGGGGGGGGATTCTGGCAAGAGAACTATGGTTTCCCAAGGAGGAGGTAGGCTATTCCAGAGAGATTCCAAATTAAGAGACTGTGCAATACAGAGCTGGACAGGAGAAGGAAGAAGACATCCCAGAATATCTCAGAGTATACCTGTTAGGTTAGAAGGTTATATACTTTTAGTCTGACTCTCAGTCTTTACTCAGTTTGTTAATTAAATCAATTTTTATTAGAGAAAGAGGAAAGGCACTTACATATAAATAGAGATGAAGAAAAAGAGTAGGAAGAGGAAGAAGAGAAGAAAAAAAAGTGAAAATGAAGAAGGGGAGGGTGGGAGAAGAAAGAATATTTATTTATTTATTGCCTTTATTATTTTTATAAATAACTCAAGACAGTGAAGACATCCAACATATCTTCCTTCTGCTGCTTTCTCCTCAGCAACCACCTTGTAAGGTGAGATAGGCTGACTTTCATGGCTAAGGTGGGACCATCTCCTGCTGTCTAGCCAGGTGCTTTAACACTAGGACAAACTAGCTCTGAAGGGGGGGGGGAAAGGGAGAGATATAAGGAAAAAAGTAGCCAATGAAACTTCTCAGACAGAAGTTACTAAAAAGCTTAAGAGCTCAACTATATATTTATTAATTTCTAGTGCATATTTATTAATTATATTTATTCTTTTATTCTCAAAAGGAGGGAAGAAAAGGAAAGAAAGTGCACGTGTTTGTGTGTTTGTATACGCGTACATGTCATAAATAGAGAATTACTTACAACTATCATTTCCCCATTGCCTTTCCAAAGGCAGGTGAGCAAATACCCCCTGTCAGCAGGAGACAGAAATATCTGACCTGCTCTGTGGAACCCAAGGAAATATACAGCATTGTTAAGGTTTGTTTGTTTTTCTAAATAAAGCTTCCCTCCTATGGCATCTTCAGCTCTCTTAAGAGGATAGTCCTGCAAACAGTGGAGATTAGGGGGGGGGGGGGCAGGCGAGATAGTCTTTATTCAGACTATTCAGTCTTTATATCATAGCTCCCGTGAGATAAACTAAGCTTTGAGTGGGTTAGGACTGGGTTGTCTAAAGAAAGGCAAATCTTTGGAGTGAGTGAGTGTTGTCCCTGTATGATTAACCTGATTTCTGTCTTCCCCCATTTCAAATAACTGTTTCATAAGATACTTACTGATAACTGGCCAGGATCCTGCGACACCCACCAGAAGTTAAACATAGGTGCTTGTCTCTGTTAGAACTTTTATTGGGACATAACTCTTGCCTGCTGGTCTAACTTTTGGCTTTGTGGGCAAAATCTCTTCTATCTCTATATGCAGCTTTTGAATATCAGATAAGAATGCTAACCAGCTCCAAGAATTCCTGAGGGAGAGAAATGCGCTTTTATAGATCAAGGGCAGTTTTTCCAGAGATTTCAGTTTAGCACCATACACACTTGGGACAGCTCCTTATTGGATTACAGTAGCTTCCTTAATAAATGAAAAAGAAACCTTATGGACGGTCAAAGATTTATTATTTATCAATGTTTAGTTGCCAGATATGATTTGCTTGCTTTGAAAGATAACATGTCATTTGCATTTGATCTTACTTTAGCTTGAATTTCTCTTTACTTAAATGACCACAAAGAAAGTAGGATAGTGTGTGTGTGGGTGGCTATGTGTATGGGTGTTTGTGTGTGAGAGAAAAAGAAACAGAGAGGGAAGTGATACATGCTTTGTGTTTGTGTGTGTGTGGGTCCATGCGCGCGCGTGCATGCCTGTGTGTGTGCACACAGGGAGGGGGATACAAGGAAAATGCCATCTGTCCAGGAGGAGGAAACTGCATTAGTCTTTATAAAATGAGAAGTAGGCTTCCTCCCCACTCCAGTGCACATAAAAAGTATACTTTAGGTGTTCAGAAAGAGACAAAGATAGTGAAGAAATGTGAATATATTTTAAGCAGTTCTCATGAACACCTATCATCAAACTATTTGATAATAAGTCTTCAGAAGGGCTGCTTAAAACATATTTGAATTTTTCACCATCTTTGTCTCTTTCTGAACACATAAAACACAATTTATTTGTTATTTTAATGTCTTGAGTCACCTTGGGAGTGAGAGGTTGTCTAAATCCCTTTTCAGAAACATGTTTGGCCATAATGAAAGAATTATATCTTTTGCCCATATACACATTTAGCATTATTTCTTTGAAGTAAACTAATACTGAGGGAATCAAATCAACATCTATTATTTATTAATTGTCTTCTTAAGATGCTGCTTCAATTCACTGAATAAGATCATAGCTGGCTTGCAGCTCTCAGACCATCAGAAATGTTGGGAATCATTTCAGGAAAAAGTAGTAAATTAATGTTTAAAACACACCACTGTATTTCAGAATTTTACACACACACACACACACACACACACACACACAAATACCTCTTTTTAACCAACCAGGTACCTTTTTTAAAATCTGAAATTCACAACTAAACTTTGTCCCATGTTAGAGGTGGTGAGAAAATTCATAACCTTTTTGCCTTTTGATCTGTATTATTTGTTTAAAAGGAGTTGTAATTTTCTCTCTCTTTAAAATGCAGAATACCCTGCCATAAACTAAATTAGATAGGATTAAGATGGATAGATATATCATAGACAGACAAACATACAGATAATAAACTAGTCCTTACTTAAAATAAGACTTTGAGATTTTTTTGTTTAGCATATCATTTGACGTAAATATTTATTCATCTTAAGGAAACTGAACAGAAACACACAAAAAAGCACTTCTGGTGTCCCATAGACATTTCATATTGTCTACAACTGTTTCTTCCTCTCTCTCTCTCTCTCTCTGTTAGTTTTCTTTTTCTGTAAAATGTTGTTGATTTTTGTTGTTTTATTTTAAAAACTTTGTTCAGAAATGTAAGTTCTTTGAATTTTAAAAATGCTGGTATGTCTAAAGGTGATGGAGGTCATATTAAAAGAAGGGGAAAATTAGAGGTATTTTTTCATCCTCCTTTTGCTCAAATAAAGTCATCAGATGAACAAAAAAAACAACAACAAAAAAACAAACAAAATAGTATTGTATTGGGGGAAATATACTCTTCTGAGTCCTTAAAAGTTACTGTTTTTTCGTTTTTTTATAGAGAGATTTATATACTAGTGTACCATTACATAAACATATGCTTCCCTCCCCAAACCCATCACAGAAAGAAAGAATGTAAGTTACTATTAAGGGGGGGGGCGGAATAAGCCAACAGAAATATTAAGCATAATAGTATTCTCTTCACATCACCTTTAAAAGTTGCATATTTGCGTTTCCCCAACCTATCCATGCATAACAAAACATTTTGCCATTTCATAAAAATCTCCCCCCCCCCACATTTTTCTTTAACATTTTTAAAACAGGTAAAAAAAACAGCATGACACACAAATTTTGGAAAATAAGTTACGTGGGATTACAAGGGTGGTTCAAAAAGTCAGTGATTGTTAAATATCAGGGAAACTTTCCACAGTCCATTTCCCCCAAAATCAAAAAGTGCACAATTTTAAATCTCAGCGAGTTTGTTGGTCCATATTTCTAATATTTCATATGGATTCTTTTTGTTTTTTTCTTTCTTTCCTCTTTCCCTTTCTTTTGTTTCTTTTCCTAGTTTCAATACCTACTTGCATAGATAGAGATAGAATATATTTTTCATCTGTTTGCCCGTTTATTGCTTTTTCAAGTTCTCACTGCATTGAAAGTTTGATTTAAAGTTTGCAAATATGTTAACACCTTAATTTGTGCAAGCTGATACATATTTACACTGAAGTAAGCCCCATTAAGTTTAATAAGACTAACTCCCAGATAAATATGTAAAGGATTGCAAATGGCATAGATACCTTTTTCGGGGAATTTTTGATTCAGCTACTGGGAGGATGGAAATATTCCTCCCATCACCTGCCCTTTAAAAACTGTTTTGTTCTAAAGCCATATTGAACTTTAGGAAAATTTCAGTTAACTCATAAGGCATAATTTAGCATAGGCAATCCATTAGGATGGGATGAAACTTTGATACTCCCTTCCTATTTAATTTTGAAAAATGTGATAGTCTCTCCTAATAATCTGGATCTAATAATCTGGCTCTTGTTTTCGGATGGGCAAAATCTCAACTAAACAGTCTAATAGCTATAGAGTCCTTTCGTTTGTTTTTAAATATAAAATTATGCTAACATATATATATATTGCACCAGATTTTTTTTTTATCATAGTACTTAGTGGGGGCAGGGAAGTCGCAGATTCTATTTATAATCTGATTCCCAATCGGGGTTGGAGTCCCACGGAAACCAAGGTGCGAAAAAAACTCCACCGGCTTTCCATTTAAATCGAAGCCAGCGACTGAAAATCAAATGCGACCAGTTGAATTCAACAGGATTGGGAAGGATTGAAACCCGCTGCCTCAGCTCAAGAGGCTGTTGGATCAGGTTACCGCCCCCCCAGCTTCAAAACAAGAACGTCCGGCTCAATTAGTTCACGAATAGGAATGATTATTATTTTATCCTCCCGCCCTTCGATATTTTGTTAAATATGTTACGAGAAAAGTGGTTCACAGTTTAAAAAAAATTGCAGCCCTCAGGGGAATATCAAAGAAGGCCGAGGAACTATTTATCTTTCTCTCTTCCCACCCCCGTCCTCTCTCATTCTCTCTCTTTCTGTTTAATTTATATCACCCAAATACCCCCTCCCTTTCCCAGTCCAATAAACTGAAAATCTACAAGTGGCCACGGTTACCCGTGGAACCGGTAGGAGAACGCGACGCCCAAGGCGCCTCTGGGAACAGGGGGAAAGGGACTAGTTATGGAAAAAAGCATTGAGCTCCTCGTACATCGGACCTCGGTCGTGATGGAGGTGCATCTCGTAAGGCAAAACATTCTCGGAGTGGACGCCACTGCGCATTCCCGAAGATCCGAACACTAAATTGTGCCCGGAAGGGCGAGAACTGGGGAGGGCGGAGTAATGCATAGAATAATGGTAATTTTTCTCGTGGTCGGGGGAAGAATCCTGCTTGAGGGAAAAATTCCCATTCACGCACAAAGGAGGGCTCAGAGGCCCGTCGTATTCCGAGCTATTGTAATCTGGCGAGGCATTCCCATAGAGGGACTCGTAGGTGGCGCAGTAAGCATGCGTCCGCAAGGCGTGGGAGCTAGCCATGGTGCTGGAAGCGCACTGCGCGCTGGAGATCCGCGAGCACTGGTAGGTATAGGGATGCATGGCAAAGGTGGAGTTGGGCCCGTGGTACCTCCCCGCCTCCTGGCCTTGCTCAGTAAGGAAATTCCTTGAGTTGAGCTGGAGGCAGCCGGCCACTAAGTTAGTGGTCGGCTGGGACAAACCTTTGCACAAAGTCTGCACATAGGAGACCAAGTCTGGCCTCTTGCCCGAGCGCAGGATCTCCGACAGGGCCCAGATGTAATTCTTGGCCAAGCGCAAGGTTTCGATCTTGGACAATTTCTGCGTTTTGGAGTAACAAGGCACGACCTTGCGGAGATTGTCCAAGGCGGCGTTAAGGTCGTGCATCCGGTTGCGTTCCCGGGCGTTGGCCTTTTGGCGTCGCAGCTTGGAGCGCTCCAGCCTGGCCTTGGTCATTTTCCTTTTTTTGGGGCCTCGTTTCTTAGGCCGATCGCCTTCCGCTTCCTCGATGCCTTCCTCCTCCTCCTCCTCCTCCTCTTCATCAGCACCCAGGTCGTTCTCCTCTTTTACCTCCGAGTCGTTCGGATCCTCCTGAAGAGGGCAGCTTTTGTTTTTTCGCTCCTCTTTGTCGCTCGAATCATCCTCTTCACAATCGTCCGCCCAGCTGGAGAATTTCTGAACTTCTGGGATCAAGCTGGGTTCGCTGAAGAGGCGCGTCAACATGGTGGCTGGAGGGGTGACGGGGGCGGGGAAGAAGGGAGGGAGGAGAAAGGCGCACGGATTGAGCCGGCCAGAAAGAAGGGAAGAATGGCAACGAGAAATAGTCACACAAGTTGGTCTTAACATCCACCACTTAACACCCACCAATCAATTACCCTGGACCCCTGGAAGATTATCTCAACCCACGGAAAGTTGGTCCTCAGCCTTTTCCAGCCAATTGCTAGAAAAGCTGTCAGTTCCTCTCTTAAACAGATTTCAAGCTTTCTGGCCAAGATATAGAGGGCCCTCCCTTCACCCAATCTTTGCTGCCAGCCTGGTCGCCCGATCCTTAAAGTGATTTGGAAGGAGAGGGAGGGAGGGAAGGAGGGGCAGAGATAGAGAGAAAGAGAGGGAGGGAGGGAGGGAGGGAGGGAGAGAGAGAGAGAGAGAGAGAGAGAGAGAGAGAGAGAGAGAGAGAGAGAGAGAGAGAGAGAGAGAGAGAGAGAGAGAGAAGGCTGTCTTCAGACATCCACCTCTTGCTCAAATCTCAACCTGTTTCCAGCTGAAATGGAGTTATGATATTATTATGGTCTGATTTCAAACTATAAGTTGATTATCATTACTCTTCTGCAGTTGATTCTCTCTCTCTCTCTCTCCCCCCCCCTCTCTCTCTCACACACACACACATAGACAGAGACATAGACAGAGAGAGAGTTTCCTTAACAAACCGCAGCTTTTTCTGCAAAAGCTCGTGCCTAATGCCTTCCTTGTTATCCAGATCTCTCGCCTAACCTCTATGTGTATGTGCACGCGTGCGTGTGCGCGTGTGTTGGTGTGTATGTGGGAATCCCACCCTTCAAATCACAGGGTGGAACTATTCTAAAGCTTGTCTAAACCTCTTTAGTGAACTCCCTCCTGAACCTGCCTGTCCTCCGACTGACACGAACAGCATTACTATTGCATAATGGCAGCCAGCCTTACTAACGCCCTCCTCGTTTCATTTTTTTAAAAAACATTGTACATATGCACAATACTTTATATACACATCCTTCTCACATGCATACAAAGACAGAACTTGGGGTGGGGGAGAGGGCAGGAAGATTTGTTTAGAACTTGCCTGAAATTGGGTTTCCCCCCTTCTTTCCCTAAAAACAATGGACTCGTTTAAAAAGCGTGTTTATTATTAATTGGTGTCTACATTGCTTTCCCGCTTAATTGGTGCAAAGCTGAGCTTGATATATCTTACCCCTCTTCATTACAAATGACCCCTTTCCTTTTATTGTATCCAAAAACAATGGATTTTTCTCCATTTTTTTTTACGGGAACTCAAAAGCCATATTATTCAGCCTCGCTCCCCTCTTTTGATTAGTTTACCAGATTTAATGGAATTAAAAATCATTAAACCCATCTCATCTGCATCCCGGCATGTTAGAGCATAAGACTGCTGCTCTCGCTTGCACAGCTTTCAGACGGGGATTTCGGGAATGCCCAGTTAAACCTAGAACTTTTCTCTCCAATTCCTGCCTCCTTCTCCGCTTAGAAAACCGGATCTTTTGCCTTAGCTTTTCCTGGGTCCTTTCCTTTCCAAGAAGAATTAAAACAAGCATTACATTTCTTAAGATAGACACTTCGCAGCGCTGAAACCCCACCGACCCCGCAATCTTCACACCGCGTCCCTCCCTTGCTTGCCAAAATCCGGAAAACTTCTCCGTCGGGCCCCGGTTTTTTGTTTCTCCCTCCCCCCCGTTGGTTTTTCCGTTCGAGGGTTCTTTCCGTGCTCCCTGGGAGGAGGAGAAAGGGTTCAAATGTTCCTTCTCTGTCTATGGCATCATCCCCATTCTCATCCTCCTTCTCAGGGCGACCCTCGAGATTGTGGCATCTCGGCAGATTTTCCCTTCCCGATCCATCTTCCTCCTCCTCCTCCTCCTCCTCCTCCTCCTCCTCCTCCTCCTCCTCCTCCTCCTCCTCCTCCTCCTCCTCCTTCTCCTCCTCCTCCTCCTCCTCCTCGCTCCTCTCCCTCCCCCCTTCCTTCCATCCCCCCTATCCCCCGCACATCCAGACCTGAGACCATTTTCCTGGGAGAAGATTGAGCTGCCGAAAGAACTGATGGGTCCGTGTGCCAGTTTTGTGCGCGAATGTTTGCAGTCATTTTATGTTGCCTTTGGAGCGGGGAAGCAACGAGGGGGGGGGGGAGAGAGGGAGAGAGAGACAGAGAGACCGAGAAACCTCCGCGAACCAAACCCCGGCGCAGATAAACCCCGAAGCTAGAATAAATCGCTTGCAAGGTGAGATTAGAAAAATTAGGAAGCCTTTCGCACCCGTAATTGCTGGAGATCTGATTCCACGGTAGACAGGTAGGTATATACAAGTGTTTGTGAGTGTGTGCATTTCTCCCCCACATCTTTTAAAATATATAATGTTATTACAAAATTCTTTGCTTTTGCTTTTTTTTTTTTGTTCAAGTGGTTTTGTATGGGTAGATAGATAACCTTCCTTCTTATACAAAACCAGCCTTTTTTATATCAGAGATTTTATGATCTAGACATACATCTTATGTAGAGATAGCTTTCCCACCTCTTCCCCCCATCCCACTCCCACCCTGCATTTCATGCATCCCTCTTCAAAGATACAAATCGATTGGGATGTGCAAACGTGGGGGGGGGGGAGAAAAGGGAAAGATAAGAACTCGAGGGGGGATTTAAAAAGTGGCCAGAATGGCAACCCAGTATTTAAGTTTCTAGCCCCCCTTCCTTACATAACTTACCTCCAAAGCTGAAATGAGGAGTCCTCAAGTCCTCGGACCCCGCATCTTTTGGGAGTACGGAGGAAAAAAAATGGGGGGAGGAAAGGGGGGAAAAGACTCCTTGAGGTCCACCCCGTCTCCTTCACTGTCTTATCCAAAAGGAGGAGGGAAGTGGCACGCTTCAAGCAGGCAGAGGGGTACCAACTCTGATGCCAGACCATATGGCTGGCACGTCATCCACTAGAGTTATCACATGAGCTGCGGAGATTGACATGCGCTCGCGTGTAGGGAGATCTTGCTCTCTGGGGAAAGCGAGACTACCATCTGTCACTCCCTATTCTTGAAAGAAAGAAAGAAAGAAAGAGAGAGAGAGAGAGAGAGAGAGAGAAAGAAAGAAAGAAAGAAAGAAAGAAAGAAAGAAAGAAAGAAAGAAAGAAAGACCTAACCCAGTCATCACACTGGCTGGGATCTACAAGATGAAAGAGACTAGAGAAAAAGAAAATAGCAAAGGGAGATGGGAACAATAGAATTTGCGGACATGGGGGGGGGCAGCGGTTAGAGAAATACTAGATAGCGGAAGATATCTTGATGTAACTGGTTGTACTATTCCTTGAAAGAATGGATGAAAGACATTATTTTTTAAAAAATAACCCCACAGCCTATCGTATGCTCTGGTCACAGCTCACCTATGGTAGAAAAGGGCCTACCATTTTCTACTTGGAATAACCTTCCTTCCAATTTGGTATTTTAAAAAAAAACAATTGGTTTTATTTTTTTGAAAAGAACTGGGATTTGGCCACTGAGGGGATGATGTGCACTTGTGTTCCTCTCTTGTTTTCATTTGTTAACAAAAGGGACACGTTCTGCCCCACCAATCATAACTGGTTAATATGAAGCATATTCTCTCCCATCCTGAGAAAATATTTTGCAGAGTCTTAATTGAACTGAACTGAAATGTGTTGCTTCCATTCCAATCCTGTTCACCTGAATTTGTATAAGTGAATATTCCCATCATTTTGTATTTCATGGATCAGAACTTTCAGGTCTTCTACATTGTTAATCTTCCTTACTCCAAAATCTGCCATCTCAGAAATGGATTGGGAAACAAATAAATACAGTTATTAGCTGTTCCTGTTCAGATCCCATTTACTGCCACAGAGAAGTTCTTAATGGAGTTGTGCCCCTTGGATCTGAATTGCCCAACAGAATTGTCCTACCCTAGTGACCTAGAGGGTGATGGATCATCATGAAAAAAACTGTCTTTCAAAGCATTATCAACAATGGGAAAAAAGACCCACCCTTTGAACTCTTCAAGATGGCTACACTCAACCATCTCAAAGAACTAACTTACCTTATTTGACAGTAAGGGCTCCTTCTAAGTGGATTCTTTTTTCCTGAATTCAAGAAAATATTTCTCCCAGGGTAGTCTATATATCAAGAATATATTAGATAAAAGGAAAGTTATAAGATTGTGATGGAGGCAAAAAGAAGCAAAAATATATAGTATTTGACTATTAGGTTGCTCAATTTTTTCTTGTATATCTCATAAAATAATTAAACTTGGCACACTGTATTTAAAACACTGTATTCATAGCACCTTCCCCAATCTGGTGTCTTCCAGATGTGTTAGAGTCCACCAACCCCAATATTGTCACAGTCAGCAGCCATTGAAATTAAAAGTGAATAGTGCAACCACATCTGGGAAATTTGATAGTTATTCCTAAAAAAAAGTATGTTATAGAGTTGAGAACCCAAAATGGTGATAGTATTAGACCAATTTATTAAAAAGAAAAGCTTAAAAGGTATTTTTTTTTAAAAAAAAGGAAATTAAGTATCAGAAATTGGATGGAATTCCTCCATTTCCCCCCTAAATGACTAGAAACAAGAGAGTCTCTAAAATGGCAAGGCAATACTTGAGGCCAATACAGTAAAACAGTTTCTCTGACATTCATTTTCAGAATTTAGTTCTAAAGATCTAGCCATTGCCACTAATTGATATAAACCTACTGAACAATAGGTCTATCGATAGCCAATGCAATGGCCATAGCCATCCATTACATATAGGCTAATGTAATTTCCATATAGGATCATTAATTTAAATGTTTTCTTAGAGCTGTACATATAAGCTCAGTTGATAATGGCTCTTTTCCACTTTTGGCTTGCATATGGAGATAGTTTTAGAAATACATACATGTGCAGAAAGAGTAGCTTCAATGAGTATGGAGTCATCTAGAGGTATTTCATTAGTCAGATTCCATTCCTTGAAGCCACATTCAAATTCAAAGTACATCAGGAACTCCTTTTTATTAACTAGATTCATGGATATATGTCCAGAGTAAAATAGGGAAAATTATTAGAATGAGAAGTAACTTCAGTATTTGTTCTGATTTTCATTATGGTTATACCTCATGGTAATTACATATCCCCTTTTCCCTATATGTGTATAGCAGGATGTATTTCATAACTTTGAACATAAATTAAAAACAAAATTTTACCTAAAATTGGTTTTGAATCAAAATGTCTTTATGTCAATGTTTTGTTTGGATACACATGCAACACACTTGAGAGCTAGGAATAGATCCAAGTCTATCCTGAATTTCAAGTTCTCTCTCTGAATTTTTAAAGAATTTGACTATCATTGATATTTTAATCTCATTACCAGGAATACTGTATTAAAGGACACCCCTCATTAACCTTCCTCCTGGTGATAACTAACCCAGTAACATCTAATGACAGTGACTTTATTTCTCTAGAGTTATTGAACACTTTGGGTGGGTTCTTCCCCCAACATTTCAGGCTGATCAAAAATGTTTTAATAGTTGTGGTTTAATCTGTTCTGGAATGACACCATGTTGAGTGAACCAATCAAATTAATCCATAATTTTTTTGGGGGGGGAGAGGAAAGAAGGGTCTAGCATGTTACATGAACATAGCATTTGCGTTTTGTTAATCTGTATTTAATGTTTAATATACTATTTTAATTCAGTTTTAATTTTTGGGTTGTAGTGTTTTGCTTGAACAAACTGGAAAGTGTGTTCATTCTGATAAATTCTAAATTCTAAAAAGGGTAATCTCCATATTATATAGTCTTTCTCTTTTCCCTGCCCCTTCCCACCGCAGAATTATTAATATCCCATTCCACTCTCTGAATATGCCATTTTACTTCAATGAATACAATGTGGGTATATAAGAACAACATTGATTCTCTCTGTGTGATCTCCAAGAGGAAAAGGATGGTCAGATTTAGCCCTTATTTCACCACCCTTTTTAGGTTCTCCCAGTTCCCAGAATTCTCATCCACCAAGAATTAGGAGGCAGCTGAAGAGTGGGAGCACTTCCCTAGAGAAAGGAGGGGGAGTGGCTTAGATCGCAACTACTGAGGATGCTAGCTGAGCTTGGGAAGGCTGGAATTCTTGATGATTTCTGGAGCAGCAGCAGCAGCAGCAAAACATTCACAGCTAGATTTGCCACTCTCTCTTTCTGATGTCTACACCTGAATCCTGCATCTTCCCTTCCTGACCTGCACCCTTTCTGTCACACTGGTTCAAGTGCAGTTATCAGATTGTTCTGTGCATTTACAGTCTGTTCTCCTCCAAGGAGTCAGCCAATCAAGGTTAATAAGGAGGATCTGTCTTGCTCCACAGCGTCTGAGGGGAGAAATAACGTGGCTTTTTTGGGCAAGAAAAGACTGGAGCAATATGGATATCACAGGTGACTGGCCAGCAAAACAATTGGCAGCAGGCACCCTGTAGGGATGCTGTAAAGCAGGAGTTGGTTGAGCTGGGGCTTGTGCTCTTAGGTAGAATGAAGCAATTGCCCCAGGAGTGGATCTGGGATATCATGAAAAGATAGAACGTGGCTTGATAGAAAATAGTTATCAATTCTCTCATTACTGGATTGTAACTGGCAGAGATTGGTTTTTCTGCCTTCTAATTGAGTTGACTTTGGGCACTCTGCACCTTGAGACAGGTGGCTTGAAGTCGTTACTTGTGTCTTAGGCAGAAAAATGCCATTGGCCTGCAGTGAGGTTAGCAGTCTTGGCCCCCTTGAGATGCAGGTGCACCATTTAGACGAATCTAGCTCATTATAATAAAGAGTCACTTGTGAACTATGTCTTTCAGTTCAAGAGATTATGAATTAAGAGGTAAACAAAGGCCTGAAGTCCTTAGAAGAAGTGTGGGATAAAACATATAGTAAATAAAAGCATATATAAAGAAAGATTGTAGCCTGCACTCAAGAATGGGGAAAGAGTGATCAAATTAGTGGTTGCTCCAGTGGGGAATACCACAGAATTTCAAACTCTCCCCCATGTCTATGTGGAATTTTTGGGAGACTTTATGTTTCATGTTGAGTCAACTCTAAATTATTACTGCCACTAGGTCAATGATGCTGTGCAAATCTTCAGTTGGTGTCTAGAGATTAAGAGAATAGTAGGGAAGACAATATTAAACTCTACATGATGGATCTGCGGTTTGCCTTTAAACACTTAAGCTCACCAAATGGAGTCATGTTCCTCCTTGTGGGTTCTTCTGGATTTATGTCTCCTATTGAAAGGTCCTATGACCAGAGGAAACCTTTGCCTGTTGCACCAGCTACAAGCCTACCTGACCCAGGAAGCCTTGGTGATAACTTCTGTCTTTATCACCATGTCTTAGGATTATTGCAATGTGATAAAAAGAATTGCCCTTGAAAAGTTCAGTATATAATACATTGCTCAAGTTGATAGCAAGTGAAATACGATTTTGCAAAATACATCTATTCTTTGGGCATTGCACTGATTGCCAGTGGGCTTCTAAGCTCAGTTCAAAAGTCTTTACATGTAAAGTTCATTAAGGCATAGCAATAGATTACACAAAGAATAATTTGTCTCATATGATTCTGCAATCCTGAGGTTTTTTTAGGGAATGCATGTTAATGTTCCACTTCCAAAAAATATTAAATGAATGTAGATAGGCCCTCTCTCTGGTTACCCCCATATTATGGAAGATGCTGATCTCAAAAATATGTTCTGTCTCTTTGCTCTGCAACATTCTGGAAAACAGAATGGTTTCCAAAGACCCCATGCTCCTGTTCTTGTACTCTGGTGACATTTCCTTTTTAGCTGAAGCATTGAAATGCTAAAGTTTTATTATTCATCACTTGGAATTTTTTTCTCAATCAATCAAATAAATAAATAAATAACTTGCAGAGAAGCATAATATATATAGGATGATACTTAATCATCTGAAATGTTTATATCTAATATTTCTCCAAACATAAAAATAACCAAAAAATCCTACTGGATCAGACCAAAGAGTCATCTAGTCCATAGATCATTCC